GTTAAAGAACAATAGTTCACAAATTTAATAGAGTGTAATGCACTAAAGACTATATCATAGAAATAGAATGACTATAAATTTAGACACGTATTGAACAATGAACGTATGATGTTAGATGTCGATATTGCTTAGAAATTTGCGTACAGATACAAGATGATTAAAAAACTGATACTTAAAATTTCATATGATCACGTCTTAAAATTATTTGTTGTAGAGGAACTAGGATTTCACTAGAAACACGCCAAGAATCGTGAGTTTATTCACGAAAATTTAGCATAGTGCAGATGCTTCGAAGCCATATTATAGTGCTTACTTAAACTACTGATCTTACAAACTAGCATTACTTGTATTTCTTTCGCTATCTTTCAATAAATCAAGATTGGTGATTCGAATAAAATGCATTTCAATGAGCAGGATGTGACAAGGATCAATGATTGCAGTCTGGGACAGATAATGCTTATAGAGATGGGTTGATAACGATGGACAGAATATTCAACAATTTAGGTAGCCGTTTCTGAAATACCATGTATATTGTCCACACTTCTCTGAATAAAATTAATGATCCCCAATGTGTCTTTAATGAAATTTAGTTCCCCTAAGACAATTAGTTTCAAACGTATATACTCATTTTAAATATGGAGTTTTCTTTATAATACCACTGTATTGCAATTATGTTGATATTGCAGTAAAGCCAAAATTGTTGTTAAATTAATATAATAAACAAATATAAATTCGATTGTAATTTTCCTTCTTTTTCTATTTCCCACCTACCAACAACAGCTGGTCCTGCCTGTACATAATAGTTTCTTGCATTATCTAGACTGTCACGCATTCGACGGTTTCCATGGTCACCAAACCATGATACAACTAGCGCCACTGGATAGTTGTATTGTAGCAGTTTGCTCAAACGTAATCTATGCTGACAGTATGTATTGTGGTAATACAACTGTAAAGACACTATTTCTATTCCTAGCACCATTACTGAGGAAGCTAATGTTTCCTGTCTGTTATCATATTCCTATATAAAAGTTTAGATGAAACGCAGAAGAAATTCAACATTAGGTAAAGTAAGTATTCCAGACCTGGTAGAAATACATCAAGTTTTATCTGCGCTTGTAACATAAGATGAAAATAAGTGTCTTTAAAAATTAGAATCCAAGTTTTTCATATAAGTAAACAATGGCAGTATTTATTTACATTGCAAAACTGATAAAGAAACAAATAAACAAAAGTTAAAAACAGTCAGGAGGAGGTTAAAATTCAGCTATGTTAACTAATCAAATAAAAACTGTAAGTGAGAGAATTTTAAAGCAGTCGTATCTCAAATCTTTTTGGTATAAACTTTACCAAATTAGAAACTTTTAAATCTAGAAACACTGTAATTACTCCAGCCATATTAATAGGATTAAAATAATATTGCCGTGACTAAATATACTGGACAGAACTTTCTGCCGAATGTGGGGGATTTCCACAGCTGTTACAAACACTGTAATGCCAATATCATTGTAATCCTAAGCAGATTCAAGCACTCTTACATCAAATTATGACAGCAGTTTCATGTCTGTTTTGGATTAAGAGAATTTTTTGTTTGTTTGAATTTCGCGCAAAGCTAAACGAGGGTTATCTGCATTAGCCGTCCCTAATTTAGCAGCGTAAGACTAGAGGTAAGGCAGCTAGTTATCACCACCCACCGCCAACTCTTTGGCTACTCTTTTACCAACGAATACTGGGATTAACCATCACATTATAACGCCTCCACGGCTGAAAGATTGCGAGTCAAGCTCCCTAACCACCTGGCCATGCCGGGCCGGGATTAAGAGAAATAAGCAATCGAAAAATGGCAAAATTATTGTTGTTCTTTTCCTTGCAAAACATACAATAAACAAAACAGGACCAACACGAAAAAACAAAGTCACTAATAAATATTGATCTGAGCTGTGGTTTAACAACTGTAGCACACATTTTAAAATTGTCGATGAATATATTTTTATAATTTTAATGGTGAATTGATCTCCACAGCATTTAGTTAAAACTGATGACTTAAGGGCCTAGATGGGAAATTTGAAATGAGGTAATGGAGTAGCGGTTTAAAAAGCGGTAGGTACTGTGTTGATAGTTAGCTACCCCTTACAACTAGGATTCAAATCCTACTTTGGGCGGCATCTTACTTTGAATTAATATTACACCATATTACAATGCATTATATCTGTTTTACAGAAGGTTGAATACCTTGTTTTTAAAATATTTTCAGTAGGCAAATCAATAAGTCACGTGACAACCACAGCTTATATATAGTCGTAGTGGTGGAATGTATCAAGACTACATTTTGACATTGTTTAGCTTTCGTAGGCAGTCAGTATGATGCCATCGAAAGTTGTTCACTCTAGGCCCTTTATGACGCAAGATATTCATACAATTAAATCTTGAAAATGTATTCACATCGAAGATTTAGAATTTCTTTTTCGTAATTACATTGGAAAACAAAGGAATAGTGATGAAATTTAACACCAGGATCATACAGAAAAAAAAAAGACCTGCAACAAACTGTACTTAGACCGTGGTAAACAAGGTGCACTGTCTCGTAATAGGTGAGAATCCACGAACACAAAGGCCGCTGATAAAGCCATGTGTCCAAGGCAATATTACACCACATAATCAAAGAATATCTTCATCTGGAAAATCGACACAAATCACGTGTACACAAATTGCTTCCACAACACATTCGTTAAACCACAATATACCTCAAACAGCTGGAGAATGATATGGGTATTCATACTATTCCATAAGAAGGCATACCAATAAAGCCGCCGGATACAGCATTTTGCATTTCTTTGCGGTCTGATTGTTGAAACAAACGCTTAGTAATCTTGTCTTCATACACTGAATGGATTATTGAAAACATGCAGATTGGTGTGCTTTAAGCAAGAGATCCTTACGTCGGAGCCTTTTGCAATGGAAACTATGCTGCAAGGCTATAATCAAGGTGCACGGTCGCCAGATAGAGTATGATTGAACGTGGCGACATGGACTATAACGACGTGGTGAGACGCCAACATTCTTTTAACAAAAAATACTCAATAATTGTAGGTTAAGAGAAATAAATATTCATATAGTGGTAAAAATATGGATGTTTTTATTGTTTGTCCTCTTTATCTTTTCGAGTATCCGAATCAGAAGGCTTAAGTGGTTTAATCAAGATAAAACAAAGCTAATTCATTATAGAAAATAGTTTTAATAAGTAATCAGCAAATGTAATAAAAAAATCTGACCATTTTGTATGAAAAGCACTTAACATTCTTGAACATATAAAATATATTCAGTTTGCCTAATAGGAATCATATAAAAACAAAACTATTAGTTTCCACATGTAAAATATCTAGATATAGACTTCTATTTCATATAGTGTAAACTTTTATAACCCCGTAATACCAGTAATACTGAGAAGTACTTGTGATCAGAACATTTTATGTGTACAAAAAGAAATACAAAGTTAAAATAAAGATGTCAGTAGTATACAGATGTAATGTATAAAAGCTAAGTTATATAAAAGGGCAAACCCTATAAAGATGTAATGTAAAATTAGGTAAGTTAAACAAGAAAAAAATATGGAATATTTGGCCCCTTGTTCTATCGTAAATGGAACAAGTAGCAACATGTATGTAAAAGTGGACCTAATTTAATTTATATAACTGACCCATTTATTCTAATTTGGTTGTTTTTGTAAATATAATAATGTTTTGATGAGATATATGAAAAGAGGGAAAACACAAATATAATATATAAGACAATAGCAACAACAACAGAGAAAAAAACTGAATGACTGTTTATGTTATATTTGGAAGAAATATCTATTTTTTGTTCGTATCTCCGTGGATATATATTTGATATATCGAACAGATATTTAACTTAAGAATAAAGAATGTTTTGAATGGTCAGGAAAGTATAGTTATAATTTATCACAATGTTTGATTTCTGGTATTATTGTAAATTTTCACAATTTGATTTGATAAAAGATTAATTAGTATTTACAGTGATGTAAGAAATACACATCATATCTCTCTGCGAATTGTAAAATAGCTATTTATTTCAATTTAATAAAAGCATTAGTTCGCACGTTGAAGTCTCTGTGAGCTAGAATTTACGTTTCATAGGAAAAGCCTTTTCTACGTTGGTCAATGCGATACATCGCTTTCATTATTGCACAGTAAATTAATTTTGAACTGCTGTTTGGATGGCTTAGTATCACTGCACTCCAACGTGTATTTGTAGATGCTAGTTGAATACAGAGCTTTTAACCTGCGATGTTCTTTCTATCTCTGCTGAAACCTCCTGGCTGTGTAACCAATAAACTCAAATTTGCAACTTAAGCGTGCGTAGAGATACAAGTGTAAAATATTTTAAAATAAAAATTAGGAAGTAGGAATGGAAGCACTAAAAGTAAGGAAACAAGGTAGGAATGGGCGGAATAACATTATATGTATGAGCGGAACGATGGTCACACCCACTCTGACGTTGCACCATGTCACAAAACCACCATATGTTGTAATGTTATCTCGTCCATTCCTACCTTGTTTCCTTACCTTTTGGTGCTAAGTCTCGAGAGTGACTGGGCTCTAGGCCTATCCTTCTCGTAGCTTTTCTTAAGGCTATCTCTCGACATTTCCTGGCTTTTGCTGATATCTTGGTTATAGTTTTGCTGCCATTTAGCCAGAATGGGGGCCTTTAATATGGCTGTATTAATGGTTAAAGCTTGTTTCGCATATTCAGCATTACTGTTTCTAGCCGTATTTCTATTCTTGCAGTAATGCTCTATTCGCTGGGAAAAGACTTTTCAAGGTTATCAAGATAAGATTTTATCATTTTCTCTCGTTTTATTTCCTTGAAAGGCATATTTTAAAAATCGCAATGTTTCAATTACAACCTTACATGTCAATAGGTCACACATAGTTTGAAAACAATGCAAAGGTAAATTATGCAACTTATTGTTCTTTTTTTTTCAGTCCAGAGCGCTCGAGTAAAGCCGTGTTAGACTTCGACAGTGGTAGCATTTATCCTCACGTACAAGACTCACATCTAAGTACCGACTGCTATGATAAAATTGTTTTATCCAACACAGAACTCTCGAGTAAGATGTATAGAACTGAAAACTTCACTTTCAAGGTTAGATCATAGTTAAAACCTAGATCTAGAGAATCTATGAAGTCCGCGTTTTTTATCTAGCTAATACAGCTGCACGTGATATGAGGGCGGGTTGTTACCTGGCAACTCATAGAGCGTGCTTGTAATCATAGCATATGGCTACTCATGTATATTGTTAGCTCGTTAGTAGTGTTTCAAAACGGTTATTTTTATTACAAAGGTTAGAAGTAAAATTAAAGTAGCGTAATTCGATCGTATGCATTTAGATTTGCACAAGGTAGGTAGGAGAGAGCTATGCCTTTCCAACAACGTTATTCAGTCAGTTAGATAGTCAGATTGACAAATTTGTGGATTTGTGAAATTTTTGTTTTTAACCCTACTGACTTTCTCAAGTGTTTTGGTGGCTTTTTACTCTGCCGTTGATTTGTATACACTACTCAAAAGTGTATGTAAAGTGCTTATAAAGTTTTGTTTACATGATATTTGTAGTGTGTTTGAGATTATAAATTGTCCGCAAACATGCCGCTGTGCCAGTAGGGGCCAGGTGTAATGTTGCAAAAACGAATGTTTAAAGTTGTGTCTACAGGTGGCTGTAGATAAAACCTCTTTACAAGTTATTTAATTCTGTATCTGATGACGCCTTTACTGGCAAAATCATGATAGTAATAAACGAAATGTTTGTGAAACGTACAATTCTTTTTGTTTTCCTCAGATCTGTAATCAGAATGGGAACTTAACTAGCAGATAACCTTGAGATAACAAGCGTGTAATAGGATGACAAAGAACATAGAATCGTATTTTTCTGGTAATTTTATTACAGTCCTTGATGTACAAAAACAGTTAATTTAGAATAAAGGAACCAATCATAAAAACATTTGATATAAAAATGCCAAGTTATTTAAAAAGGCAAATTACGTAAAAATGTAACGTAAAAAGTGATGAAAAAATTGGGAAACTTGGTTCCTGTTTTATATTCATGTTACTGATTGTTCCAATTGCAATGAAAAAGATGACGCCTTTATTTTAACTTGGCTGTTTTTGTACACATAAACTGTTTCGATCAGATATCGCAATTTGCTTAAGAAGCAACATCATTTTTCAGGGAGATGTATATGTACATGAAACAGTAATTTACGTGTCAAGATATTTTGTACATGGAATTCACCATTAATATTATAAGAAAATATTGATATGTATGATATATTTGTCATACCCTAGTTATACTAATGGAATTTTGCTTCTTGCCAGTCCTCCTTGTTTTAGCGTATGTTTGACTTCTCCATCAAGAAAAAAAAAGAACAATAGCTTTACCATTTTTTACAGCATATTTCTCTTAATTTTAAATGTGATGTAAAAGAGTTTAGGTCTGTTCGGAAACATGAGAATAAGTGGCCTTTCAGCATTTGGAACAGACGTATCAATGCCCTAGATCTGGCAAAAAGTTGGACTGGAATCACTACCGTGCCTCCCGTGGTCTAATTTAGCAAGTGTGTTTCCACGTGAACATGAAAAAAAATTGTTAAATTATTTTCCAATAGACTTGATATTCTTTGATTATGAAGCATGCTGGTCAAATTGCTATAGATATTTATCTGTTAATCAAGTTTAAAATCCATTAAATAAGAATAACTTGACTCTTAGCACAAAGAAAGGTATACGTTTTGAAATATTATGTTTTTACAATAATAATGTGATTTATACTTTCCTAATGATTGTTTCATTCGATATTTCTTTAATTCTTATTCTAGTTCACAGTTTGTAAAATATCTTGTTCTTACAGTTAATTTCCCAAGTGATTACAAGGTCTAAAACTTTACCTAAAAAAAATAGAAATGAAAAACGAAATGTTTATATAAATAATAAATACCATGGTTGTCTTCTGAAGAATGTGTCGAAACTAGTTTATTTGATATCAAATTTCTGACAGTTTGTTCCGTTTACTGTGGTTTTTTCAGTAATTGCTGTACACGATATTGTTCTTTTATCATCTGACAGTCTTCATACATATAACGACACCAAGTGCTAAACCTAAGAATAAATTATTTATCAGAAGAACGAGAAACAAGTTCTTCATTATGCCATTCAGTGACACTGAATTTTCTGTTGCTGCTCTTAAGAAAACTATTTTTTGTGCCATTTTAAACTAGTTTCTTTGTAAAAAAAGAAAAAATAAACTTTATGATTGTGCTCTTGTAAAGTGAATAGACATGAAAACAATTGCATTCACGTCAGTGTGTTTAAACTTCAATTGTAAGATCTATGAGGAGGTTTATCTTTTGCCTTGGACGAAATATGTGGATTTAAGCGGTTGTTCTGGCTGATTTGTTTACATTGAGAATGAAGAACGGAATCTGTATCAAAATATAATGAAGTCAACTCATCGTCACTTTAGTAAAAGAGAATTTAAATACATCAGTGTAAAATTCACAATAGTTAATATCTAGGGGAGGCACTCACGTGTTCCTCGGGACGTAAGTGAACCTATGAGAACGAGAAGCATAACCCGTCTTGATGTGTTGATTTCCGTGCCTTGTGATGGGTTCAACAAGAGGAGAATTCTTGGAGCTGTTCGTACACCAACCTGTTTTTTGTTTTGTTTTTCATTAGCCTGGATCTCCTGCACGGCGGGTGCTGATAAGTTAACCGATAAGTAGACTGCATTAGTCCCTGCGGTTCTTGTTATAATTAATATCAGAAACCGTGATATGGTTTAAAAGACGACTGGCCTATGCTGCCAAATTCTTGGCACGTTCAGCTAATGTCTTCTGTCAACTGTATGTAGTATAACGCATTTCTTTGTCATTAAAACACGCAGAAAGGACAAAAACCTTAAAACAGATTTATGACTATAAGGGAAAATTTGAGTTCCAAATTCTTCATTTAGCCGTATTTCTAATGTTTGTTTCAATATAATTTACTTTACCTTACGGAATTTGAGAAAAGTTTCCTTGCTTCTGAACTGCTGGCTATTTCAAGTCGACAGCGGTACTTTCTACAGGTCTAGTAGAGTAGTAGAGCGGGTTTTCACGGTCACATGAAGTAATGTAGGCGAAGCTAGCTGCCGACAATTTATCGGGGTCACATCGTAAGACAGTAAGTTACAGCGGTAGTAGTACGTTGTGTTTATTCAACACATAATATCCACACGTAATAAAAGTTTGTTAAATGACACATCGTTTCAAAAATATTTTGTGGTCTATTCATATATGACATATTTAATTATATAATAACTTCTACTAGAAAAGTTGCAAAACATCTTTAGTAAAAATTCCGATTAATAACACTTAGTACTTAGGCTATCGGTTGGGTATCTTACTCCAAATTGATAATTATAGGCTAATTTTATTTTCCTTAGATATAAAACTAATGGTACTTTAATAATAACGTGTTTCAACATAACATATAATTGTAACGTGAAGTAGAATTGTTGATTTATATTAACAGTGTTATCTACGAAGCATTAAGTATTATGAAAACGTGTTTTAAGACCTGGAAATAACTTCTGGAAACGAAGTAGAACAAAAAATGATTAAGTTAGCTGCCATAAATGTTCAGAATACAAGTTCTGTTATTGAACAGTAATCAAAATGTATATATCAGATTCAGGATATGTTTAACTATTTCGGATTTAAGAAGAAAAAAAAACTAATCATGCATGACGACGTAACTACCAGAAAGGTAATAAATATGGAAAATTAATTATATATCATAAAAAGTATTTTACTTATCAAATGTTTCTAATTTTAAGTGTTCTTTCAAGAACATGAACTTGAACATTTACATATACTTTAACAAGCAAAGATCTTTGAAGTTGAAATAAAAAAGCATGGATTTGTAAAAAATCTTTTATCCACGCCCATTAGAAATATCATAATAAATTTTGTTAATATTGTTCGATGACTTCTTCTTAAATGACGTATCCTGAATTTACTTAACTAATGCATATATAAGCTATGAACATACCTGACATACTTAGATATTTTTCATGTTGAACTGAGTGGATCTGAAAATATAATTCTTATATACAACAATGTTCCTGGGAAATATTTTTATTGTTTTAGGCCCAAAGTTTTACTTGCCTGCTTTGTCAGGAGAGCAGTGTCGATATACTTGTTTCCATTAAGTGAATAATTTTGGTATATATTATTTCGCTCAGAAGAAGACCAGACGTGACCTTGTAAAAAAAATTTCAATTGCACCAAGAAAAAAATTAATTGATACTTGTTCTTGCCAAAAGAGTAACATTAAAACCTATGGCCAGCAGGAGAATAATCTTCATATACTTACTCCCGTGATGGACACAGCTATTAATATTATTATTCTGAAATGGAGTAAATATATAAAGATTGTTCTCCTGATGGGCATAGGCCTTAATATTAATATTATTAGACTTAGCGGTAAGTCTGAAAGCTTCTGATGCAAAAAAACAGATTTCGATACCCGTAGTGGGCCTAGCACCGGAAGTCCATTGTGTGACTTTGTGTTTAACCACAAACAAACAAAACTCCGAAGTTATATGTCATTATTACAATAACAATCAAAGCATCAAACTAAACCACAGTGCTTTTTAAGTTGTTTCTTTCTGCTTGTATTATCTAGACCAGTGACCCGCGGCAATAATTTGGCTGACCCGCCAAAAGTTGGCTTCACCATTGCAACCCGTAAGGGCACAATCATTGTTCAGTTCAAGTTTCTCGGCTATGTGAGAAGAACAAAGATATTAAAGGAAAGATGGGAAAGTGTCACGGCTACGGAGAATTTTAAGATCAATTTTAGGGAAAAATATCAAACTGGTCGAACTATTAATTTTTTTG